CTATTACTCCAACTTTTATGAGGCAACTATTAGTACTGTGTACCGACAAAGTTCATTTCACATTTAAAGATGTGGCCATGGGTAGTCCCTAAGGACCAGACCATTACTAGCTGTTATTTATATGCCATATATCTAAAATCTAGCTACAGATCTAGTCGCTAAAGTTTCTCCTTACAAGAGATGTGTTGGTGATATCAAAGTGATTTGTGAGAGGCATGAGGATATGGTTCATCTACTAAAAAGACTGAACACCACACAAACTCACATCAGTCTGACTTGTGAGAAAGAGAATAATAATCACCTGCCACTCTTAGACATACTCATGAGTCAACGAGAAGATGCTTAAATAAGATGGTCAGTTTACACAAAGCCTACATCGACAGGATAATACCTGAATTTTCACACTTTTTGTCCAATCCAATACAAGCGAGGTCGAGTAAAATGCCTGTTTAATAGGATATATCGTATCTGTACACCAGAAACGAGGGATGAAGATATCAAATAACTGACCAAAACACTTATGGAAAACGGACATCTATTGAAGTTTATAAACCGTTGTAGTGATCAAGTAGCACCGAAGCCAACTCTATACATATTTTAGAGAAACCTCTCATTTCCTATTAATTCAACCTTTCTGAGGGAGCTATTATAACTTCTGAATTCAGTTATTTACAAAGAACAGGGAAATCTCTTCAGTTTCTATTAGCTGATGTATTCACATCAACGTTGGAAACGTGAATAGAAGATACTTTAGATAATTTAACTATCTATATACGCTATATCAATGATACTTTTATCACAGGTGACAATTATGAACCAATCAATTTCTTTTTATCTTATTCAACTGTATCACTTCAAATACTCTCGTGACATCTGATAAAGAAATGAATCACAAATTGAGTTTTCTGACCATATTAATCACTTAGTGAAGTAACAAAACAATCATGGAATAGACGATGTTTATGCTTTAGTAACTTAATTCTTATTCAGCATAAATGTTCTTTGGTTAAATGTTTATTCTCAAGAGCGTAGAGAATATGTATAGGTGATACAGTGAATAATCAAATACACTGCATACGTTCAATTTTACAAACTTTGTTGGAGGCAAGTGACGAAAAGGCCGGATTTAGATTTCGTGCTTGTTCGCACTCGTCAGCATGGGATGTTTACAACCTCGACGGAGTTGATGTCCTGCCTGGGACTCAAACGTGCATCACTCAGTGTTGTAGTCAGAGACTTTACCACTTAGCTTTTCGGGTCGCGACTGACCTCTTTAAGGACTGGGTTACATGTATTGATTGGTCACAGGAGAGCAACAAATTTTAAGTTCTTTAGTCCTCAGTGCAGATCGAATCTTATCTATCTTTTTTGCAATGTGGTCATCAAGCTACGAGGGTCATCACTGCGTGGTATTTTGATGCATGTTAGCTGGTTGGAGGGAATTGGCAAAACGCCCAGACCTAGGTTTCGTGCTTGTTGGCACTCGTCAGCATAGGATGTCTACAACCTCCACAGAACAGATGTTCTGGCAGGGATTCGAACACGCGTCACTCAGTGCTGTAGTCAGCGACTTAACCATTGACTTTTACAAACCAATAGATATATGAAAAAAAACGTGCATTGTATACCACAGTAAAGATCAACCAGTCGTTGAGAAGATAGGTACTGTACCAAAGTAAGCTGTTTTCACTAAACCCATTAAAGATAACCAAATCATGTAGTCGATAGTTCAAAGGCTTTGATAAGCTATCAAACTAACTGTTCATGCTGCTACTCTTTACTTAATTTTGAGAACATTTTTCCTTGTAGTGTCAAGAGTTGAAGAACAAAATCTCGTTAATCCTATCTCACATAGTATCTACAAGTTCATCCATATCTCTGAAGACATTTATGTAGGTGCAATCAACGGAATAAGTCAATATCGTCAGAAAACGTGTGTTCACCAGTAGCTAGCAAATCACACTGTTAAACTAAATATACTTAACACACAAATACATAAACAGGCAGGAAACCAGCATTACCCTATTATTAACCACTTATTGATAAACGGTCAAAAAATTATTGCTAGTGACTGTTTTTCACTTGCTTCACTCAATTTCAACCCTCAGTGATTAAGGGTGACAGAAGTACCATAGAATACTGAATCTTTTATGATAATCGGTTATTAGAGTAGTATTCATCATGGACTGACATCAGTTGGAGAACCATTGAAAACCGCCTGCAAGCACTAGACAGACGTTTCCTTCTAGTATGGTACTCCTCAGAAGAATGCACCCACAAACCGGTTAGGGATGAGACTCAGGACCTCCAGGTTTCACAGCGAACGGTTTAACCACTCAGTCGCTTGGGTTGGAGTCCAATGGTCCACTATTATCCAATGGATATCCTGAAGTTCTGATAAGAAGCCGTGACCCATTGGGTCTATCAGAAGATGATTGTTGCGCTATATCGTGAATTGATAGAAGTAGAAAACTGTGGACAACTGAATTTCGACCCAGTGACTGGGTGGTTAAAGCGTTCGCAGTGAAACCTCAAGGTCCAGAGTTCCATCCCTAGCCGGTTCGTGGGTGCATACTATTAATGTGTCCCATACTAGGACGAAACAGCTGTTCAATGCTTCCAGGTTTCCAACAGTTCTGTAACTGATGTCAGTTCATGATGAATACTACTACTACTACTACTACCACCTTAAAATCAAAAAAATCCCCATCAACCTCGAAATTGATTATAAGTTTTTTTCTTTGCGTGAAACTGTGGCTCATTCGTACTCGACTTCTAACCAATGAGTCAGGAGGTTTGGACCTCACTTCATCTGCTGAGGTTTAAGCGACCAGATAGCATCGTCAATAGTCCTCACACCGATAGGTGTGACTTCATTGCCTATCGCAAAAATGTTCATGTGATTACTGAGACCGTTTCGCGTATTTCCTTTCATGACAAAAAAACCTTCAACTAACGTAGCATGATATTTTATTGAAATATTCTAACAAGTGTTCTGACATCCTGCATTAGATTCATTATAATGATAACACAGGACTATAATCAGACAAAACATATTTATCCGTTGAAATCAATAAAACCAGTCATTGATAAAGAAGGTGAATCATGATAATTGATTTAGTCACATAAATACATCGATCACCTAAAGTTTGTTTAATATTAGAATTCTGATAAGAGGGGGAGAAAACGTTAGTCAAAACTTGAGCTGAAGATGACAACTCAGATCATGGCTTGAAGAATACTACGGCATATGCATATACATAGCTACATGATAAACACTGTTGATGCTACTCGAATTACACCATGTATAATGTCCAATGTAAAATGTTGCCCGAGGACTGGTCTGATGCAAGTACTCTCAGTTTAATGATAGTGCGGTAAGTGGGATGTCTATACCACTTCGCTTACTTGGAAGATTGCATTAGCTGGTTGCTGACGAAGTCTCAGCTCGGGTACAGAAGGCCCGTTTGGTATTTGGTAACTTACATCATCTGTGGCACCGACTGGCGAGATGTCCGACTACGTATCAAAGGACGAGTATACTAAGCTAAAGTTCGTTCTGTCCTGTTATACAGCTATGAGATGTGGCCGTTGAAAGTGGATGATGTGAAGCGGTTACAAGATTTGATCACAGATGTTTTCGTAACATTATCCGCATTTGGTGGAATCACCGTTGTGTGAGTAATGTTGATGTCAGAAGAAGGGTACTAGGGAGAAGATAGGAAAGTCGGTTGGTGAGGTTATGAACCTTGGTTGACTAAGATAGCTTGGAAATCATGTGAATAACGAAGAAGTTAGGCGTAGAATGTTATGTATAGGAGGTAAGTCTGTTGATGAGGTTGTGAAAAAAATCGTAATCAACTCAGACGTTTGGGGTATATATTACCACACGCCTGGAGTCTATTCTGATGTGCGATGCTAACTAAAGTAAGTTTAAAGTGGTAAAACGTTAAAGGCAAGTAAATTAAAACGTGGCATCGGTTCATAGTGTCTAAGGTTGCTAGTGCAAGACGTGCAGACTTCTGAACTCAGCTAAACCTGACAATCGAAACAGGTGATTAAAGACTGTAAGGTGATGATGTGTCTGAGAAACGATCACAGTGGTGGGGATCCATCCATTTTAGACCTCCTGTGCCTTTTAGTTATGCCATTTCTCTTCCCTTGTCTTTAGTTTCGTTGATTTGTTTCCTAATGTGCTGATTTCAGGTGTAGCGAAGTGGAATGTTATACAGTAACGGCAGGTGACATGCTGATACTGACTTGTCTCCAAAGTAATCCTAAAACACTCGATGGAGGAGTGTCATGTCTTGTTCTGATCATCGAGAGACTTCTTACATGCGAGTAATAACTCAGTCAAAATGGACAGTTGAAGCGAGCAAAAAATAATCATGTGCAGTGCACGCCATAACCATCTCATCAACTGATCCAACTTTCAACCACCTAACAGCGGTATTACTCACACAATTTTTCCATCCCATACATGAGATATTCTCAATATACACATGATAGAATAGCCATAACCTTAGAGACGGTAAATGTTTTTTGACAAAGAAATAGGAGCTTCTTCAGCTGTTCCACTTCTGTATAATCTAAGCATTTAAACTTTAACTCAACCTAAATGAAACTATCATTTTGACTACCTGAAATAGTAGCTGCGGTATGGTGGACTAGTATTGAAGCTGGGTGATGATTGAAGGTTAAATGAAAATATGGACCGCGGCTGGATCCGAACCAGCGACCAAGGGGTTTCCGGCTCGATGCTCTGTCAATTGAGCTACCAAGTCCGACTGGTAAATGAAATTGATAAAAAAAGTCATCGATTTTAAACTAAAGCCACTTTCGTGAGTTCCGAATAAAAAGTGATGCAATTTTTTAATCACAAAAACAATGGAACTAGTTTCTTCGCCAAAAAAATATATGCATAATATGGATATTTTTATAGGAAACAAAATAGTAAGCGAAAGTGAAACACAATATGCAAAATAATGCATTTCAATTACCATATCATTTGAACTAAACGCTGATACAGATGCTGATACACCGAAATCAGCTAATTTCACTAACCAACCACGTGAAGCAGCCAATAAATCGGCTAATGGACGTCCACAAAACGATGATTGACCACCGTTACTACACAACCAATTATGATCTGGTAAATCCATAGTACCATTAGGGCTACCAAATTCACTTAAACCACAACCTGGTGCTGGTGTAAGCAAAAGATTCGCTGGTTTAATATCACGATGTATTACACCATTACGATGTAAGAAATGTAGTCCATCTATTAACTGGAATAGAGAAATCAAAGAAAAATATGCTTAGAATTCATTTATTCATTGTAATTTAACGATTAACGGATATGTATACCTGATACACTCGGTTTTAACTGTACACAATTAAAATTGTGATATTTGTACTTCGAAAGCTTGATTTTCATGTGTGCGAGGACTTTCTATTTAGATTAGTCAGAGCACATCATAGGGTCAAATCACAATACACAGATAGACAGACAGACAAAATCAATGTAGAACCTCGTATACAAGTGTATCAGTTTAAGTTTATCACACTTCTTTATACACATCATATTATGAGTCTGCACTGACGATATTGATAATGACAGTGATATCAGCATTGATATCGAAACGTCTACCTGTTATCAGGAACTAAGCTATGGAGGGTGGTGAAAGGGATATTTCTATTAGAGGCACATGTACACTTTTATCAGTTATCCTAAGATGTAAAACAAAACCCCTTTTTGAAATCAAATTCTTTCAATCAGGAAAAAAAGAATCAAGTGAATATACATATTGATTAAGTGAAAATTTTCATAAAAATATGTATAAATGTATATAAAGAAACAAAGGTGAACAAGATTTAAGCTCACATGTGAGAGATAGCTGAAAGTTAAAAAAAAATATAGAAAAGAAGAATTGCTACTTATGGATCACTTTCATTGTCAATAATGATACACAAAGAAGTAAATAGACTGTTAACTTCAGCATAGCTTTGAACACAAAAATTGGAAAAATTATTGAGTAGTCTGTAGACAGACAACATTTCGGTTGGAATTCATCATGCACTGATATCAGTTGGAGGAACATTGGAAACCTGTAAGCACTGTACAGCCACTGTTTATTTCTGGTATGGGACTCCTTCACAGTGCGCACCCACAACCCCACCAAGGATTGAACCCAGGACTTTCAGGTTCCATGGCCAGCACGTCATCATTGAGTCACTGGGTCGGAATCCAATCGTCCGCATTTCCTTATACTGTTAATTCACGATATAGCGTAACCTACATCTAGTGCTTCCATGTTTCCAGGATTCCTCCAACTGATAGTCAGTCCATGATGAACTCTAACCTAAAATCAATTGATAAACCTCCACAAACCTCCAAATAGACATTTCAGTTGGTATATACATTCATATAGATTGTAAACGTTTCAACTATGCTATTCATAGGGTCAATTAAATCCAGTACACGTGCTAATCATACAAACATTATCATTACCTCCAAATCTACTATTCAGTTGACGCCATCAAGTCTGACAGACAGATATAGATGTAATCAACTGAAAATCTTGCACCTCAGGAGTAGATCGGTTCAACTTGCCCCAATACATTGCAGCATTCAAAGAACAATTGGATAGAAAAAGAGTGGTGTCAAAGTGAATAAGGGAGATGATAGTTCTTGTAAAAGAAAAATGAAGGCTGGTGAAAATATTCAAGCTTTAAAAAATGTCAAAGAGTGAATAGATTTGTGTTATTGTCAACGATTTTCAATCATTATCGTTAATTGCGTTCAAACATTCATTTTTATTATCTACAGGACCTCCGGACAAACAGTCTACACCTCACTACACAGTTCAGGCCAGTAGTCAAAGACTTTGTGGACTGGTGTCATGTCTTCATCGGTCAGCCTGAGCATTTTTACCATCCAGTTCAACTTCGAGGTATCTGGTGACTCGGTATGTGCAACATCAATTCTATCCAACTAACCACCTGTGACCAGTAATACCTAGTAAGCTGGAAATGCATGCCCACAAGTGTAGAGCTGGTATTACGTGGAACTGTGACTCATTGGTTTAAGGAGATGACTTTCGAACCCTTCCTCATCTAACGAGGTTTGGGCAGCTAAGAAATACGTATCCTCAGCCCTTACACATCACATCTGGCTCACTGCCTACTGCAAAAGTGTTCACAAGGTTGTTAAGTGAATTTCGATTACTTTTAATTCGACAGTTGGTACTGAAGTACTCAGAAGTAAACAGGTTGGAGAAACAACTTCAAGTTTTATACAAAAATATAGCGATTCATGTTAACGCATTTCATGTAACCACATCAAGGTAAAAGGATATGGTACTAGTGTGTGTACGTATGTATCAGTAAACGTTGTCACACTGACGTGAAATACACAACAAAAAGGGATCGTAAGAACGGAAAAAATGTTGTTCCTTACGAAACTTAAACCAACAATCATAGATACAAATTAGTAATGGGTAGCAGTGGAGTCTGCAACGTGCACTTCTTCCCATCTAGGAAACACCAGCTTAAAATACTGCGTCCAAGTGAGTGATGGTGTCCCTCACCCCGACAGACAGCTGCTACCTTGACGTGGTGGTCGGGCTGGTAAAATACAATGACCAGATGAGCTACACTGGCTAGAACACTTGCTTCCATGCCAGGAACGTCTGTTGGATAGTGGTAAGACGTGAAGTAGTTGCCGTTGTAGTACAAATTACTACACTAAGATGGGGGGTCCGAGAGCCAAGTCGTACTACTGCTAGCTGGATGGAGTGTGAAAGCAGTAAAGTGTTTCCCTAGGACGGCAAGCCGTGCCATCGTAATGTAACCTTCACGACGGAAGAGGGGTGAAAAGGATGACCCTCAAAATAACACATTCCACTATGGCCAACGGTTTCCCGGTGCCGGCGGTATGGGTACTCCCTGTCCGGTGTTAGAACAATCACATCTCACACCAACAGTCCGCAAAAACCTGTGTGACCGACCTCAAGCGTAAGTCATATAGGCTCCGCGGTCATAAATATCGTTTTCTCTTTCTGGCACCTTAAAAACAAATAGCCTTCCATGGTGTGATCAACCAAGAAGTATCAACCGCCCGCACACTTCCAGGATTACACATGATCCAACCAATCATAATCTATCCTCCACAACTCTGTCTCCTCTTTTACCTTCGCCTCCTAACACTAATATTGAGCCTCTTACACCTCTCATCCTGGGACCATTGCCAACGATTAAGGCGAACACTTTGAAGTACAATTTATAGCACAGCAAAGCTTCAGTTCCCCAACAGCCAGCCTGAATCTGAATGGAAGGTAGATACCGCTCCACAAACTTTCCCTGAAGTTGAGAAAGCTGTATCGAAATTGAAACGATGCAAAGCTGCAGAGCCTGACAGTTTTTCACCTGAAGTTTTCAAAGATGAAGGTAGGAAACTGCAAATTAAGGTGATGGAAGCAATAAATAGTGTATGGCAAGCACAGGTAGCGCCATCAGACTGATCTATTGCACTGATAATACCAGTCTATAAGAAAGGAGAGAAGCCTTTCTGTGACAACAAATCACATTGATTTTTATCGTATCCGAGATCCTAGGACTCATAGTTATCCAACACCTAACTGCAGACCGGGGACAAAAACTCAAAAAAACCAGAGAAGTTTAAAACCTGGATGAGGGTGCATTGAAAAGATCTTCACTCTGCAACAGGTCCTCGAATGCAGGCTTATTTATGTCGACCGAGACTAGCCATATTTCTTGACCTGAAGGTAGCAATCGACCCGGTCGACCGTTAGGTATTGGTATGAGTGTCTAACTATGGAGGATGTACCGAGCAGGTATATAACGCTAATCAGAGCTCTCTACTCGAACTCACGCAGTCGTGTAAGGGCTTATTGAGAGTTGCTATGTGAATTGACGACAACTACCGTTCTTATTTAACTTCGTCACAGACATACTAATGAATATAACCTTAGATTCTTCTGACTTCACAGGGACTGATCTACTCCCTAGAGATCACCTTGTCGACTTGGAGTATGGAGACGATGTTGTCCTGCTGAGTGAAGACACTGATATGACTGTAAGGTTTTCTGGACGACTTGAGTAGAAATCTGAATATGTGTAGTATCCATTTCGCTGGAGTGTCTCAAATGTGAGATGGTACTCCAGGACTGGTCTGCAACCACTCCCAAGTTTTATGATAGGGAGTGAAGTAGTTGAATGCATTGACACACCATGTTTCACACCAGCAGTTCCATTTATTAGTGATTACAGTACACACAACTATGGATCAGAAGTCACTAATGACTGAACACCTCCATTCATAGAATATCATCTGTCTTTGAAGGGTTTGTGTCACAGGCACGCCTAGATCTAACCGGTATTACAAGTAGCAAAATTTCAACCAGCTTAATGTATCCACGATAATATATTAACTCAACTACTCACTAAAGTAAGTGTGAAATGGTCAGGTATACAGAACATCATTGATTCTGATCAAAAGCTAATTAGTAAAGGCAATAACCACAATAATATCACTTAAATACACTCATGCATTCAACGTGTAAACAAACTGGAAGAAAGTTCATGGTGGTCAGACCAAGGCAAAGCATCAGTGCACAGTGTCACCAACTGTCAGTCTGAATCATATGAGGAGGTATGAACTGCCTTGTTTGTGCTCCACAAGACGAAATAAATCTATTGGTTGGTGATTCTTGGTGACAATGACTACAAATGGCTTATAACAGCGCAGATACATTCATTCTGTATCATCAAAGTTTTGAATATTTTCAGTCACTTTCATCTGTAGGTTATTTCTCCTGTTATATACTTTAGTCTACCCATTTACCATCTCTTCTATTCTCTTTTTGCAGATGTAGTGAAGTGTAACAACTTGAAGTGATAAACATCTGTGTTAGGTTCTACATTAATTTATCAGTCTGTCAGTCAGAGTGAGCTATTCATTCCCGACATTGAATGGAAGTTTCTTTTGTACACTTTTAAGAAACCATATGGATGAGGTATTATAGAATTAAATGGTTGTAAAGTTGCTTGAAAGCATATATAATTTCTTCTAACTATCTTACTCTGATATCTTTTATCGATCACCTTCCACTAATGCAACTCTGATTTCTCTGACTATCAAGTAATTTCAAATCCTCAACCTAATGTACTTACAGAGTCAGTAGTTGCTAGTAGTCATCTTCATATTTAGATTATGCAAAACTGTTAGCTAATGTTTCTTTGTAGTAAATTCCAGGTTGGTTAAAGG